CCCTCCCTCTGACACCACGATGGACGCGAGCGACCCAACGACACGCCTCGTTTGCGCCGAAAATCATGTACGCCCGTAACCGCGTGACGTCGCCCCGGCTGCGAGGGCGGATCCGGTTGGGTGGGATCGGCTGCGAGATCGCCATCCCGCAGCGTGATTGAATACCCTCGTGCAGATAAAGCCGCGCGGACTGGACGGCACGGTATCTGTGGCCACGAACGGGCTTACCGATGGCGGCGCGAAATACCGGCGGGCACGGGTAGAGATGCGGTCAGACGACACCCAAACAGGGACGGGCCTGTCGCGCTTAGGACGGGCTTGCTCAGCCGCTGTGGTAGAATGAGTGTTTTGCGACCAAAGCAACTGGGCGAGGGGACGCATTGGCGCGTGCTGCGCGCATAGATTGTGGGAAAATGTTTTTTTAGTGTCCGATCACACAATGTGAGGGCGCGCTTAGCGTGAGGCGCGAGCGACAACGTGGTCTCCCGTGAGTGGCTGTAGGGCCGTTGCAAACTCCGACGAAAATAAACATGAAAATAATATGAAAAAAAGAGTAAATGCCAACTGATCTTGATTTGGCATATTATACATGGTATAATATAGGTATATATATATAATATAATATATATATGCAGCACAAAGGTAGACAATGCGAGGGCGTGCGTTCGCGTGCATGCGGTGCGGCATGCGTGCAGGGCGTTTGATGGTTATGGCTTGCAGTGGTCTGTGTGCGGGATGCGTGTTGCGTGTATGGTTTGTGGGAGGCCGTGTTCTGTGTGTGTCAGCGTTTGTATGTGGTTTGTGTGTGTGGGGTGCGTGTGCATGCTGTGTGTGTGGGTTCGTGTGTGTTGTGCGTGTGTGTGTGTGTGTGATGTGTGTGTGTGTGTGCGATGGTGTGTTTCGTCGTGCAGTGAGCGCGCGTGTGGTGCGTGCGTGTGTGCGTGCGTGCATTGCATTGTGTATGTGTGTGCGTGCGTGCATGTGTGTGTGATGGTTGCGCGCGCGTGTGGCTGTGATGTGTGTACTGTGCGTGGCGTGCGGTCCAATGAATATGTGTTTGGTGTGCTTGCCGGTGTGTGCGTGCGGTGCGTGGTGTTGTGCGTATGCGTGCGAGACTTGTGTCTGCGTCGTGTAGTGCGTGAACCAGCGTTCGTGATTGGCGTGCATGCGTGTCGTGCGCTGCGTTGCGGTGTGCGTGTGTGCGTGCGTGCGTGCGTGCATGTGTATGTGTGTGCGTACGTGCATGTGTGTGTGCGTGCGTGTGTGTGATGATTCGTGTGGACTCTGCGTAGGTTCTGCACGGATTACTACAAGATGGAATTAAATATTTAAACAGATGTGTCAGAATCTGCTGGTCTGTATGCATATTTAACACCATGTTATATTCATTTATTTATCCCATAGCTCTGCAATCATGCCCATGCAGTAACTTTCTCTCACTCTCTCTCTCTCTCTCGCTCACTCGCTTAATTACTAGCACTGACGTAAGTGCAGGTATGTGCTCAGGCACATTAGATCATTTTTGCGCATGTCACATTACCTGCCAATATATATAATGGCCAGGTAATGTGACATGCGCAGGAATTTATCTAATGTACCTGAGCACATACCTGCATTTACGTCAGTGCTAGTAATTAAGCGAGTATATATATATATATATATATATAGATATATGTATATATATATATTCATATATATATATATGTATATGTGTGTGTATGTGTTTGTGTATATAAGCGAGCAGGCGGCTGCTCGTATTGCTTTTCAAGCTTTGGTGTATGACGTATATGGCGTCTTCAATCGACGATGATGACATATGACTCTACGGTGCGTGCGGCATTGGCAAGCATCACGATGTCATCTCTCTGACAGTAAGTCGATTTTACTTCGGTTTGCAACTTCATTAGAACGCTGGAAGGGTTCCCTTTTCCAATTATCAACTATATTTGATTAAAGTTAACTAACTACAAACACCTGATATGTTATGAACTTAGTCTGTAAGATTGTGTCGTGGTTATGAAACATCTGCATGTCGTCTATTAAGGTGTACTAAATCAAAGCAAATGTCGTACTAGAAGAATATAGAAGAGAACGCAGTAGTCGTAAGTAGAGTATCCGTCAGCAATCTACAGAAAATATCATACCGTAACTCGCTGTTAAACTGGTCACGTCACGGTAAATAGCTTATATAAAATAATTATTGAACACTTATTTGAAATGTAAAAGGCTGAGTGGTCAGTAATTTTTTGTAGTTAAATTGCCGCATCGTACCTTTCGTTTTGTAGTTGCGTCCAATATTTAAACCAACTCTAGAGCTTAATGCGTAGTTCGTTATACAATGCCCCTACAGTAAATTAAACCCCTCAGCAGCTTCTGTATCTTTAACTAGTTTATCAGCTAAAACCGTCAGGGTGTAATTAGTGTCGGTAAAAATTGATTTTTTTACAAAAAGACGACGACAACATTTTTGCAAATATAACCTTCGTGCAGTTCGCGACGTATTTCACACTGGTTGGACGTTCCCTCCACACCTCGTTAATCACAATAGTCTCGCTACGGTGCATGTGGCGCCAACTATCGAGTTTATTTCGAACGAAGATGGCGAACAGGGTTTTACGAAAAAATTGGACAATTCCTCGAGATTTGTAAGTCTTTCTAACGTATAATCATTGCAAGAAAAAGCTTAGAGGGAGAATGCAGACGGACCGCCAGATAGGCAGACAAATGTGAAGAAGAGACCATTACAGAGAGAGACAGGTGGAGAAGGGAGAGTGTGTGTGTGAGAGAGAGAGAGAGGAAGCTAAAGAGAGAGAAGGAGAGAGAGTGAGTAGAGATAGCTAGATAGAGAGAGAGAGAGAGAGAGAGAGAGAGAGAGAGAGAGAGCGCGCGCGGGGGGAGCAGAGAGAGAGAGAGAGAGAGAGAGAGAGAGAGAGAGAGCGAAAGAGAGAATCGTGAGGGAGAAAGAGTAAGAGTGTACGTAATATTTAATACACATGATCTGTTCTCATCGTAGTTATCTTTCTGCTTTCTGGTTTAGCAATGAAACAGATTAAGGTTCTGAACCCAGCTCTGTACAACAAGAAGGTAAAGTGCGTACGACAACCTATATAAGCGTTTCTACGGGAAGCGCCAACAGAATTTTTAACGCGATCAAACCGTTTCAAATTAACATAGATTCAATTAGAAACGCAATAGAAGAGAAACAACATGCAGCGAAAAGTGCAGGAATCACACAGACGACATCACAGATGAGCGATAACAGAATGAAGATGCATAAATGCAATGCTCTTGTGTTTCTGCTTGCTGCTCACCTCGTTCAGTCAGCAGTGTTGGTGTTACACCACGTTCCAGAGGGACTGATAAAGGCGCCAGGTGTCCTCACGATCGGCACCATCATGCCTTTACACGAAGCCGACGCCGAGCACGGATGCACGAAGTACATTGACACTGTTTTACTGCAGTATATGTACGCAATCGTTTATGCCGTCGAAAAGATTAACAACGACAGTGAAATCTTACCCGGAATCACGCTGGGCTACACGATATATGATAGTTGTCAGAAGGATACCATAGCCATTGCCAGAGCGTTGAACTTCATTAAGATCAGAGATGATCCGCAAAATGTGACCGATGCCAACGATGACGCTGTTGGGACAGCACTTTGTGACCACTGTGACGTCGTCGGTGTTATTGGTGAAATGTTCAGCCATATTAGCGTGCAAATTTCACACATTCTTCAGTTGTTACAAATACCACAAGTCAGCCCATTCTCTACCAGCGACGTGTTGAGTGACAAAAGTGAGTTTCCCTACTTCATGCGCACTGTGCCCGCCGACACCAACCAAGTGGCCGCCATGGTGTCACTAATAAATAGATTTGGTTGGAGTTACGTCTCAATGCTATACGTTGAAGGCAGCTACGGTGAAAACGCCGCAAGACTATTTCAGCTGCTTGTCAGCAAGAATAACGGACTGTGTATCGGCTTGTATCGTAAGCTTTCGCTACGAAAGGCGGGTGGGACTGAATCGGAGTACGACCTGGTCGTTGATGAGCTGCTACAGCACATGAACGCTAAGGTTGTTGTTCTGTTTCTCTACCAAAGCCAGCTTTCTCTTCTGATGAAATCCGTACAGCGAGCCAATATCACGAACCATTTTATATGGATTCTCAGCGACGATTCCGCGTACGAACCGTTCACAGGTTACGAGGATGTTATGGATGGTGCAATCATCGTAGGTCTGTGGACGCCACTTGTTGATCCGGAACTGGAATCGTGGTGGCAGAACCGGACGCTAGAGGACTCTGAAAACAATAGATGGATCCGCGAGAGTTGGGAACAGGCGCATAACTGCAGCTTCACTCTAGACACGTGCCGAGTTGATGAAACGTTAACGCATCGGCCGTTAAAGCGTGGTGTCTATCACGTTACGAACGCGGTTTACTCGTTCGCCTACGCTCTTGACGCTGTTGTACGAGATCACTGCGTCAGCGTCAGCGGCCTGATGTTGCGTCGCTGCGTCACGGGTCCGCGTCTGCTCGCGTATCTGAAGAACGTTTCGTTTGAAAGCTATCCTGGTCACGTCATACGCTTCGACGAAAACGGAAACATATCTCCGCGGTATATAATCCTGCATTTTATCCGCGACGATAACGCCAGTCATCGTATCGTTGACGTCGGCACGTGGGAAAGCAGCAAACTTGTCATAAACGAGACGCTACTATCTTGGATGCGAGCCACGGGAGAATCACCAGAGTCCGTCTGCAGCAGGCCTTGTCCCGTCCGCCATTACCGCATCCAGCTGAAGCAAAGCTGCTGCTGGAAGTGTCAACCATGCCGCGACAACGAATACCTTATCAACAACGCCACCGACTGCGTGCCCTGCTCCGCCCTCTACTGGCCGAGCGAGCGCGACGCGTTCCTCTGCGAGGAGATCTACCTGGAGTACATACGATACTCGGATATGGTTGCCATCGCGTTCTCTGTAGTCGCTGCTTGTGGCATCGCAGCAGTGGCGATGGTAGCTGCTGTGTTCGCGAAGGAGAGAAAGGCACAGCTCATCAAAGCCTGCAGTAAAGAGCTGAGCGCTGTCATGCTGTCTGGAATCCTTCTGAGCTTCGTGCTGGTGTTGCTGATGCTCGCTCCTCCGTCAGCCGTCACTTGCACACTCATGGAGCTGGGTCTACCGCTGTCATTCACGACCATCTACGCACCGCTGCTGATACGCACAAACCGCATCTATAGGATATTTACTGCTGGGAAAAATAGTAACGTGCGACCGCCGTTTGTCAGTTCCAAATCACAACTTATATTCACCTTCATCATCACAGCAATTCAAGTAAGTACATAATATACAGTTAATTCGTGGATGTATTTGTTTTTGTTACGCCGATTTTAAAGTACATGGATTTTTCAGAGCAATTCATTTATTATGCTGAGGTGTGTTGTCAGAAACATAACAGGTAGTTATGACATCACACGTTTAAAATGTTATAAACCTTGAAGTAAAATGTCATGCATCAGTTACGCCGTTTTGAACTTATAAGAGTCATAATTATTTTGTTGTATAAACAAAACGTATCACTGGACTATAAATTAGATCCCGTGGTAGAATTATATTTTTACTAATATAACCTTTCGCAGGAAGTGAAAAAAACGCACGTAATGTTTTCTGCAGCTGTTGTCCAGCATAGTGACGGCTATCGTTGTACCGCCTGTACCCACCAAGCAACAGAGGTCGCTGAGTGTACCGTACGTCGAGATGTACTGCTGGCTGGCGCCTGTAGAACTCCATTCATCCGCCATCTTCAACCTGCTTCTGGTCGTCGCCTGCACCTACTACGCCGTAAAGACACGTAAACTGCCGCACAACTTCAACGAGTCGCGTTTCATCGGTATCTGTGCCTACACGGCCGTGCTAATGTGGATGGCTTTCATTCCCATCTATTTCATCATTAATCGTGCCTCCTATAAGGTGGTGCTACTAGTAATAGCTGTGCTCGCGAACGCGTACGTGACATTGTTGTGCTTATTCGTTGTGAAGATTTACGCGCTTTATTATATAACAGACGGCTCATTGGACATCAACACACTTGCTAACACACCCGCGGCACCATTTCCAATTAATCGCGTCGCGCCGGAAACGTATAGTAAACCTACAACGTCGGCGGCGGTAGGGGGCAGCACCTCTGCCAGCTATGCAAACGATATTCGCACTGCTGGCCTCCAATCAGGCAGATAGGTTTCACTATTCTTGGCTAGTATATATTGGCGTGGCCGCCACCATGGACTTTTACCGTCACAATTAAAAGAGTCAACCTCATGGCCATCGTGATGAGTTCGCCGTATTCTGTCATCACCGTGTCTCCCCTACTGTTTACTTGAATCATAATAGATTCTACCACCATGGACCAGCCTCATGGATTGTTCATCTATCATGGACCACCCTCACGGTTGATTCATTAATGTGGACATGATTAGAATGGTGGTAAGGTTTGCACGCTGTTGAAATTTTGCACGCTGTGTTTGTCGGTTACACACATTAAAATCTTACGATTGCGTGCAGTGTGTCTGTGTATTTAGACTAATAGAGACTAGATTGCTGTCCTTACTCATTTCATATCTTACGAGTGTCTGGCATGTGCCGTGGTATATATCTAAGCCGACGTTAACGTAATACGAAGGGAATGAACTCGCTAACGATGTAGCTTAGGAGTTTTTTTACTGCTTACGCTAACTGCTGTATAAGTGAAATTTATTGCAGATGGCAATGATATATACGTCGACTAAGGTGAAGGCAATTGCGAAAATTACTATGACCTGTCTCGGCTACCGACCCACTTCCTAGATACGTCAACTACAATAAAGCCTAAGCCATTCAGTTCCGATACCAAGGATAAGCGTTTATTTACTCACGACTACATTCAATCGCATCAATGTTATAATTTTCTATGCTCCGTCAGACTGGATTTGCTGCCATATACTAGTATGATAACGTTCTGCAGGGATGCTCGTCTCTGCACATGGTATCGGGAATTTCATCCAGCAGAAGTCGAAGCCGAAGCAGAAGAGCAAGACGACGAATATAATGCAGCGGTTTCCGAGCTATACGCACGTAGGGAAACACATGGAATTGTATAGAGAAATTAGAAAGCAAACTATACGGTATTATTTTTAACCGATGAAACATGGACACGCCATTAATTCTTTAGCCGATCCGGGGCTAACAAACATGCATCAACAAGAATTGAATTATTGAACTCCAGTAACAATGTTAGCAGAGTACTTAGACACAAATATCGCAACAACATTATCCAAAATTTATATGACATGATTAAACTATCGGCTTTTAGTTGCCAAGTTTAGCGAGTCGATCAACTATTCGTCTTATTCGTGTAGAAAAATAAGACGCACGCAACGTTTGCTGTGGGTGTGCGGTACCGTCGCTCTGATGTGTGCCTAGTTTCAAAGCATCGATCTTTTAGGTTCACGTCTTTCGTTTAAATTCAAGTTGCGTGTATCCCTGCATACAAGCGCCCAAATGCAGTATTTTTCGCCATAGTTTCTTTCTGTGTAATTTACTATGTACGCCGATCATACCCGCCGCTTCCGCCAACACACGAATTGGCAGTAATTAATCGTGCATGCTTCACCTGCCATCTTGCGATTAAATTATAAATAATATATGCGCTAACGGCAGAATTAACTAGCATCAATGCAATTATTTGTATGGTGTATAAAAAATTATGTAATCATACCAGATATAGAACGCATAGACGGTATGTGAAACACCGTTAACATATTTAGAACGCACTGCATGCGTGTTTGTATCTGTGCGTGTATGTAGAATCTACTATAGGCACGATAGTGGATGGCAATTTTTTCCGTAGATCTTCTGTTAAACTCAGAGCGTAAATTATTTTCCAAGTTTATGCTTTATAGCTTACAGAATAAGGTTCAATAATGCTGTAACAATTGAAAATTGTGGCTAAGCTTCAAGGATGGCAGCCAAGCTTCAGGATGGCTACCAATCTTCAAGATGGCGGCCAAGCTTCAAGGTGGCTGCCAAGTATGAAGATGGCTACCAAACTTCAAGATAGCTGCCAAGCTTTAAGATGACTACTGAACTTCAACATGGCGGCCAAGCTTCAAGATGACTACTGAACTTCAACATGGCGGCCAAGCTTCAAGATGACTACTGAACTTCAACATGGCGGCCAAGCTTCAAGATGACTACTGAACTTCGCGATGGCGGCCAATCATCAAGATGGCGGTCAGGCTTCGGAGTCTTGCTCCTGTGATGAGCACTCCTTCTCGATCTCCTCGGCCGACCTCAGGTCAATCGCAAACCTGCGCGGCCGCGACTCCGTGCGCATGCACTCGCGCCCGAACTCCTTAAAAGCGAACGCGAGCGCGCAGGCGAGCCGGCGCGCCCCCTGGCGGCTCTCGCACACGTAGGCGTGGCACTCGAAATCCGGATCCGGAAACGCGTCGCCTCGGACGACGATCATCGCGAAGACGCGCGAGTACTTGACGTCCTGCACGCCGTACGATATCGTGTCGATCGGACGCAGGCCGATGGCGTCGCTGTCGCCGTCGCCGACGCTGACGCCGTCGCTGCCGACGACGACACTCGTGTGTATGCCGTACTTCGACACCTGCAGCTGCAACGCCGGAAGCGCATCTTCCTGACCACGCCCCCTGGAGGCGTCGATGAGAGATTCGACGGGGTGGCGCGTGTGTCGGATGCCCCACAGTCCGCGCGTCGGCCGCCGACCGAGGTACCGCACGCTGAAGGTCTGCGGAAGAGTATCCTGATCGGCGAGCGCCGATGCCGCGTCGTCGCTGTCTGATGGCGAGGCGTCGGCGGAGCAGGGTAGCTGCGAGTCGCGGCCGTCGCTAGCGCCACGCGTCGTGAGTCGTTTCAGCAGACGACGCGCCGACTCGGCTAGATTCGGCTTCTCTCGGACGCTCGTCTGCGCGCTGATGACCTGTGACGTCATGGCGTGACGTCAGGAGGTTATCAGTGGTGTTGTGTGTAGGGTGTTCAATCCTCAGGCGAGAGTGAGCGCGCGACTTTCCGGCGTGAATTTCTTGAACATCGGACTTGTTGTTGTTGTTGTTGTTGTCGTCGTGGTCGTCGTCGTCGTTGTTTCTGTTGTTGTGCCTCTTCTTGATTGTTTTCTTCTGAACCGATATGGCTATACTGTCTAGAATCTATCGAGGATATCCGACGAGGAAGGCTTGCTACGGGAGAGACGAGAGAGACATTGTTACGCCACAGGCATCCCTTAACTCTAGGCACGCTAAATTTCAATCTTCAATGCGTTTGTTGTCTCTGTTTGGGCATTCAAGTTATAGGCTGCGTCTACTAATGGTGAGTATACCTTCCCACTGTATGATGCATGAACATTAGCGCTTCGAATCTCTCTCCGTATGAACATCAGCTTGAAGAATCTATATGAACGTGTGTAGTCCTTCGATGCGACAGTCACCGTGTAGTTCCATGCAGATAATACACACGCTGACTATCACACGCGAGCGCTCACACGTTGAATTTCGCACGAGCGTTCAGACTGCGTATAGCACATACGAGCGTGTTGTGAGAGCTGTAAACAAGCAATTCGAATCAGTTATCGATAACAATCAGTCAATCACGTTGGCATCCAATCAATCAATAATCATTAGAAGTCTCTGGACAGTAATCAAAACAAAATTTCCTTACCTCGCGAACGTACGCACACACACACACACGCACACACACACAGACACACACACACACACACACACACACACACACACACACACACACACACACACACACACAACACTCAAAAAAATAAAGTGTCAGAATTGAATCGTAAAGTGTCAATTGTCTACACTATAAAGAGTTCAGTTAGAGACAGCAGCTTAAGTGTAATTAATTTCAAGTGTTAGAATAATTTATACCAATGAAGTGTTAGTAATATTAACACCTCGTTGGTAAATATTAACTCGTTTTGGACTAAAACGAGTAAGTACTGTAGTGTTAAATGTAAACACTGACTTTACACGGGTACGGCAGTCTCACACACAAGTACAAACAGTCACACTATCTCTATCCCTAACCCTAACCTTAACGCTAACCCTAACCTAACCCTAACAATAACTCTAAACCGACTCGGCTATCTTATATACGCGTGTCATAGTACCTAAATTAATCTATGGTGTATAACCTTTGGCTTTCAATATTTTGCATCTGAACTGACAATCAATCCCAATCAACTGGTGTAGGCTAGCTGGCACAATAATGTTCATTTTCATACTTCAAATCCGAGTGTTTTCTAGCTCATCAAGAAATCTTAATCGTGAATTAAATCGTCAATTAATTTCCATCCGCATTATTTTGTGGGAAAGCGACGCATGCGCAAATGGACTGCCGTACCCGTAGCTTCGAGACATTAAGATACGGCTGTCGTACCTCCAGCCACTGCGCACGTAAATAACTTTATGAACAAAGAACAATGTTAACTCTTGTGAAAGGGAGAGCAGGGAATGGAGCTCTTATAAAAGATTGTGGAGCTCAGTTTGACACATATAGTGTAAATTTTTGACATTAAAGAAAGTGTCACTGTTTTAACACTTTATGATTACATACCTGACACCTGTATTACTTGGAGTGACGCTTCAAGTGTTATATGTGATGTAACACTCGATAAGTGTAACTAGTTTTACACTTTAGTTTTTTGAGTGTACTCCCACTACACAGTACTCACTCTCTCCCGAACAACTTCGCAGACGACACAACAGCACCAGCACTGGTTCCTCCCTTGTCCGACAAACGCGTAGAAACCTACATTCGCAACGCGAACCGGGTCAGTGTGTGTGTAAGGCCGACCGACCGACACAGTGCGCCTGACTGTGCAGACTGCAGGCGTTGCAGGCAGGGGACCTGTGATTAGACACATCCCATAGTCCTTGCCGCGTCACCCGACCGCGCAGTCACCGAATCCGCAGCCGCCGTGCGTGACCGCAAGTCACTGAACCTCCCCATCATCCATAGCCTTCAGCCGGCGAAACTGGTTGGCCGAAAATCCGAAACGTATACACACACACAGCGCGCGGTGTTTAATACGCGACGGGAGAAAAAAAAACGGGAGCGAATGACGCGTAATTGCCGATAGAGGTCGCGTGCTTCGCGACATGGCGCAAATATTGTGGTTTGTTGTAGGAGAGTGTCAGTAAACGGATCATGTTGGTTTTGCAAAGCTGTAAAAAACGCGGCGTGCCGCCAGATTTCTCTGTATTTCTTTGTTTAACAGCGGTAGGTGGCATGCTTATGGTTAAATCTATCACCAGGTAACTATAGGTAACACCTTTAAACAAACGCAGTTGTTTCGCCTATTTAACTACACCAACACATATTTTTTCCAACACCTGTTTGCCTACACTTTCTAGGGTTTTTTCGAAAAGCAGTTTACATGCTATATACGTATATATATATATATATATATATATATATATATATATATATATATATACATATTTACTTATTCGGTTTAGTATTTATTTATTTATTTAACACAATAATTTACCCACAGACTATTTTGAATTCACGCGGTAACACGAAGCGTATATCTCTAGCGACAAGGCTATACAGTGTAACATGTATAGCTATTATGTTCGAGCGATTACGCGTTACATTCTACGGCGCGTGGTGTGAGATAGATGCTATCATTAATCACAATGTCGCATCCGGATTTCCAGCGCGCAATGACAGCGCTCGTCAATAAAGTCGGTCGACCGCGAACGGCGTTGTCGTTGTTTCTTATCGCGGCGTTGAAATAATTCGAGCGGAATATTCGCGTCATTGATCAACCGAGTCTCTGAGCTCATAATCATACGACGCCCCTGATTCCGACCTCCATCCTGCGCTTTATTCAAGTGTCGAAGCGATCACGCCGCAACGCTTGCGCTCGAATTCGTCAGCCATGCATACGTATTCGCTACTGATATGCAGGTTGAAAATATTTTGCGTTCTTTTCGCGTAACATGTGCAGACGAGGTGGAGAGTCGTCGATGGGTCGTCGATGGTCACGTGACCGGGGTCACTGTGCGTGGTTGGAGCGCATTGCAGGGAGAGTTTAAGCGAGTTCATTCTCATCCTAACGCAGTTGTTAACTTCAACTTACGCTCGCGTATATCAGTTCGGCGCCGATTCAATTAAAATTAAAATGTTTAAAAAAATGAGTGATCGATTTATTCGTACGCACGCACGCATTGACGCGTGCGCAGAAATGGCGAGCGCGGCCATGTTGGACTGACTGGCGGCTAT